GCTCCTTCAAAGAAGGGTGGTGAGAAGAAGAAGGGTCGTTCTGCTATCAACGAAGTGGTGACCAGAGAGAACCCCATCAACATTTACAAGCCCATCCATGGAGTAGGCTTCAAGAAGCGTGCCCCTCGAGCACTCAAGGAGATTTGGAAATTTGCCATGAAGGAGATGGGAGCACCAGACATGCGCAATGACACCAGGCTCAACAAAGCTGTCTTGGCCAAAGGAATCAGGAACGTCCCGTGCAGTATCCAGGTGCAGTTGTCCAGAAAACGTAATGAGGATGAAGATTCACCAAACAAACTCTATACACTGGTGACATATGTGCCTGTCACCGCTTTCAAGAACCTACAGACAGTCAATGTGGATGAAAACTAACAGTTTATGATCAAGTAAATTTATAAATCTGCCTTCAAAAAAAAAAAAAGATTACAGCCAAGAAAACCCTCGGGAGCAGTTCTGCTCTGTAATACATGGAGTTGCCAGGAGTTGGAATCAACTTGAAGGCAGTAAGCTTGGTTTTTGCCTTTGGTATATGGGATCGCGAATGTTTTTTTATTGACATGATATAAAAGGTGATGTTTCTGGAGTGGTTCCTGTAGGACAGGTGCCCGGCTGAGGCCTGGGATGTGTTGGCACCAGCACATCAGGACCGTTTGCTGAAGAACATGTTGAGGGTGTTTCTGCACCATGGCCACCTCGCTGAGAGGATTCATCAGCCCCAGTGTCTTAGAAAACAAGTGAAGTGCCAGCCACTGTTTCACTTCTTGAGGTCTTTCGGATCCATCAAAACGGTGACTCAGTATTGAGTCAGGAGAAGGGTTTCTGGGGATCAAAATAGTTCCTCCTTGGGGCTGCCTCCCAATTCACGCTTGCCAGCATGAGGCGAACCACCCAGCAGCACCTTTCTAACCCTGGCTCTACTTCCTGGAGTTTTTAAGCCATTGGTTTTGCACAGACACGCCACCCTGTCAGAGCCAGAGCTGAAGAATCTAGCCCTGTTGGCCCCACTCCAATTTGGGTAATTACATTGGACCCACCTAAGGTTCCCCTGGGATTTTCAATTAGATATGGGATGCTTCTTCCCGAGGGCCTGTAATCTGTGACCCGCTACTGTTAAACAGATACTGCATTCCACCCAGTGGCAACCGGCTGCCCTTTAATGATGAAGAAAAAATTGCCCCTTTCTCCCATCCGACCCTGGGAATCCCTGAGGCAGAGTGGGTCTGTGCCTGGGAGTGTCCCGAGGGTCTCGGATGCCTTTTCAGAGTGACCTACAGAGGCCTTTCAGACAGTACTTTGCAAACAGCTCACAATTGGAAGCTGCAAACACACTTAATCCCGTTGTGGCCAACCCAGAGCCTTTGATAGATGTGTTCTTTCCACAGGGCAGGACCAGGTGCTTTGGTAACTGAGCTGTGAGGCTCATAAAAGCCCGGTCAGCTTGCATTCTGGGCTGCGCTGGGCTTGGTCTGGCCCAGCCTTGGTGATTCACCCTGCCCCTTCCCCCCAGACATGGTGGCACCAGCCCTGAGTGGTGATAGGCTGTCAGGTGGGGGTCAGGATGTTGGGACTCACTTACCTGTCTGTCATTAGTTCAGCAAATGTCTCCTAAGTTCATCCCTATGTTCCTAGGACAGGGCTAGAGTCCTCAGAGATGAGTAAAGCCAGTCCCCTTCCTGGAAGAGGAGGTAGGCAGGCACACTGCATGGAAGATCTGATATGTCATGTGCAGAAAAAAGAACAGCCCTAGTCAGAATGTATCAGAAGCCCAGATGTGCTGAGCTCTGAGCTTCTTAAGAGATCATCATGCTGTTATTTTTAATTCACAGAAGAAGTGCCTAAACGTGGTAGTGGAGCTGGGGTTCTAATTCAGTTCTTATGGACTGCAAAACCCATGCTCTGTCAAGTCACAAAAGGGCACCACCTAACTCAGTCAGGCTTATGGAGGAAGAAGAGGGTGACTAGAGAAGCCTTCCTGGAGGAAGTAAAGGATGGATAAGACTTGGCAGAGAAAGGAGGTGTTCCTGGCAGCAGGAACATCATGGACCAAAACATGGAGTTGACTGGTTCTGGAAGGCAAAATGGGAGCATGGGAGATGAGGCTTTTGCTCTTGCTGCTTCTTCTGGTGGCAATGCCCTTTCCCCCCTTTTCTGCTTGCAGAATTCCTGTTCTCCTTTCAGGGAAAATGTTACCTGTTTCAGGATAGATTTCTGGGTTCACCTGTTGGAATTAATCTTTTTTGAGAGGGAATGTTGGGAGGGAGCTGACCTCTCAATGCATGGAATTTTTAGTTATTCTACTGTATCAAGTCTTCTAAAAAATCACACTAGTGCCTGACAGTTAATCTTCACAACCACTGAGGCTGGCAGTATTATTAACCGCCCTTGGAAGATGAAGAGATGGAGGCTTATGGAGGTTGAGACTATTCTAAAGACACACAGCTACTGACCGGGGAAGCAGGGATTCAAACCCAAGTTTGACCTCAAAGTCTGTGCTTTTGTCCACTTGATAACTGCATTGGGTTGTCACTAGTAGGGGACTCATCCTCCCCTTGCAAGTCTTTGGGACATTCTGCCCAGAACAGTCAGAACTCCGTTGGGTGCCTCGCACAGGGTGGCACACTGAAGACCCATAGAGCCAGGCTGAAGGTACTCAGCTCCCCTGGCTGTTTTGATGGAATGGAGGATGAGGATCTAACTCATTCTCACCAAGAGCATTGGTGAGATGCTGACTCAGTCTGCTTCAATATCCTATAGCTGTTTCTGCTTAGGGAGGGAGCTACCTCATAGTCTTCTCAAAAGATAGGATGGGAATCTCTGATTTGGGGGTGACTCAGACTTCCAGGGCTGAAAGAGGTGACCTCATCCAATGGCTGGCTCATTCCAGCTCAAGTTTCCAGGAATCAACCCTGTCTTGATGGTGCCAGTCACACACTCAGCAGATTTCTGGGGGTGCTTTGAAAGGGGAGCCACAAGCCAGAACAAGGAGAAGTCAGCTTTGATTTAGAATGTGGAGAGGTTGTTGCTCACACACTATAACTAGTTCTCCCATGCAGATTGGAGAGCAAGCAAGGTGGCAACCTTCCTTTCTTTTTCCTGTGGCTCCTTGCTTCTAAAGCCAGTTCATCCGGTCACAAAAAGGGAGCCTCAAGGATGTTCATGCTCTCTGGGGCTTCCTCAGGGTGGTGCTGGTGTGAGTGGTCCCCAAAACTCCCATTCCTGAGACTCAGCTGTTCCTCTATAACTGAGCGCCAATGGTGGTACTGCTGCAGGAATACTAAAAATGATGGTTTTTATTGAGCACCTACTGTGTGCTGGCACTAGGCCAAGGGTTTATATAACTTTCTCTATCATATCTTCCTTATAAAGGACTAGGTGCAATTATTCCTACTGCTGACACTGACACTGAGGTACAGCGAGGTCAGAGACTTTGTCTAAGGTCGCTGTCAGTAAGCGGCGTGACAGGAATTCAGACTCAGATCAGCATGACTACAGAACTCACTTCCCTCAGCCACAGGGAAATTGCTAGGCACCAGGAGACTTGAGTTCTAGTAGATGCATTATCACCAACTTGCTGTGTGACTATGGTGAATTTTCTCTCTCTAGGCATCAATTTCTTTGGCAAAATAAAGAGGTAGGATGAGACAGCTCTAGTCCTTTCCAGCTCTCTGGGTTTAAGACTGCCTCTGCCTTCAGAAGTATTGTCCAAAGAGCAGCAGAGAGTCCCAGTGGCCAGGAATCCCAGGCTCCTCTCTGATTGGATGGTTGGCTCCTAGGTGGGGTGAAGTTCCCTTGGCTATTCAGAGCTCTGAGTCCTACCCTTCCTTTTAGTGAGAGGCCTTAGAGGACATGGCAGGTGTGAGGGAGATGCAGGCAACCCTTCTACTGCAAGTCCCAAGAGTAGCATGACTCCCACAGCAATCCCAGAATCCCCTGGGCTAACCCAAGGAAACCTTTGGACCAACAAAATGCCTTACCAACAAAAGGTCACAGCTCAGAGGGATCTCAGGTCATCTTGTCCACCCCCTACCTTTTTTCCATTCCCTTTGTTTGATTGTTTTTTGGGGGTGGGATGTACACAAAAACACTCAGGAACATATAATAATTTAAACAACTAAAGGGCACATTCTTCAAGCCTACCTCCTGGCTGCCAGCACACAGCCCTTCTCTTTCCATGAGTCTAGAGACCTCAGCTGCTCCTTGTCACCATATCCTCATCCACCCCCTACCTTTTACAGATGGGGAAACTGAGGTCCAGAGTGAAAGTGTGACTTAGCTAGGGCTTGAATACAAGTTCTATTCATTTATCCTTATATTCATTCTCTCAGTACTGGAGATAAAAACAGGCTTCCTGCCTGAAGGAAAGGGAGACAGACCTGAAAACAGTTACCATTTATGAATGTAACACGGAGGGCTGCTGATTTCCAGCCCAGAGGTTTTCCACTCTGGCTTCCTGCCTTGCCAGGAGGGTTGGGTTTTTTTTTTTTTTTTAAGTAGAATTCTGGAACTTCAGAACTTGAGATGGCAAATCCTTGAAGTATGGGCTGCCTCCTCCTCTTCTTTGACCCATGACAGACATCACAAGTGGCTCACCAATGCCTCTTCCCGTTGAGCCTTGTGTGAGGCCGTAGAGCTCCAGCCAGGCACTACCAATGGATCAGAGCTGGCATGAGATGAATGCTGTCTGCCATTCCTGATCAACTCAACGCAACAGCGGCAGCATCTATAACAAGAGCTCTCACTATGTACCAAGCCCTGCCCTCAGTACTGTGATTTAGGTGCATCATATTGCAGCCCATCCTGATAACAAGCCATTGAAGTAGGTAGTGCTATAATGCCCTTGCGCAGACAAGGAAACTGAAGCAGCGAACCCAGAGGTCTCCAGCTTACTAGCAGTGTCGAGACTAGACTTAGAACTGTCCACATCTTGACTATGTTATAAAAACTGGCATTTCCTCAATAGACTGCTTTAGTGATGTCACATTTTGTCTTTTTTGAAGGAAAAACCCTATCCTGAACTTCTCAGCCCAGCCTTTGCCTCTCCCGCCCAAGCCACCGTTCCCAGGCCCTGGTCAGTATGACATCGTGGATTATGAAGGACCCCCCAAACATTTCATCTCAAGTGCATCATTTGTGTCCAACACCGGACGGTGGACTGTGGATCCGTCCCAGCCAGGACTACCCGGTCCAGGTCAGATGTTTGTCTTAAATGACTGTAAAATCCAAATCTTCTGGAATTGTTTATCATTCCTGAGCCATCAAATGCCACTGTTTTATAGGCTGTTTGCTAAACCGGTCACTGAGGTTAAAGCAGATTGAGAAGAGTTATCAGTTCACATTCTCAGAGTACACTTATATTTAATTGAAAGGGCTTTTCTAGATGACCGAAACCAAAGATTCGTAACTGATGACCGTGAGCCATCAACAGACTCGAGGATGGGCTCCAGGGAGTCTGACCTAGAAATTACGTATATTGATTTGGAACATGCATACATTTTCTGGGGAGGAAAGGGGTCATAAGTTTTATCAAATTCTCAAAAAGGTTCATGTTCTTTTTGTTGTTGTTGTTGTAAAAATATAACAACAAAGATTTGCTAATTTGACATTTTTCAGATGTATAATTTACAGGTTCATTGATCTTAAAAGTGTTTACACTGCCCGTCTAGTCTGGCCAAACCATTGTACTGCTGGGGAAGTCCTGGAGAGCTGGCTGCTCACAGACCCACAGGGAGTTAGAGGCAGGGCAGAGGACCAGTCACAGTTCCCCTCGGCATACTGTTTGTGAAGAAATAGACCAGAGAAGGTTCAATGGAAGACTTCCTATAAGGCATCTAGTTGAACTTCCTCTTTACAGATGAACTTCAGCACTGACACGCTGTTACCTTTGGAATCTACTTAAGGGCTAACATCCTAAGGAGGTGATTCATCCTGATGGGTGGTCTCATAGCTCTCCAGAGAGTCCCTTAGCTCTTAAACATTCCCCAGCAATGTCCAGCCCTGGTGGCATTGAGGCCTGGTCGCTGTGCAGGTGGGCAGGTGGTAGTGAAGGAAGAAGGCAGAGCTGACATAGTTGCTGCTGTGTCCACTGAATTCAGCTCTCCACCCAGCCCTGAGGGTGCTCCTGCCCAGGGGAGACGGAGATGAATTAGACCTGGTCTTGCCCCCCACCCCCAGGCCTCAGTCTGTTCTCTCAACACACATGAAAGTAAAAGTAGATCATAGATAAGGAGGACCTCACTCTCAGAGCCGTGATCTTGGAAATGTAGTGATAATCACACCAACAAAGTTACAGAGGCTTGATCTTGGGGTATCTGTTTCACCCAGACAGAATCCAGTGTGGGTTGGTAAATGTACAATTGCTCCACATTTGTGGTGAGCTCCAGAAGGCCTGGGGCAGGCTGGAAATCCCTTGTTTAATCTACTTTAGCCCAGTACACTAAACTGGGAATTCCTTGTTTGACCCAGTTTAGCCCAGCACACTAGACTGGGAATCCCTTGTTTAATCTACTTTAGCCCAGTACACTAAACTGGGAATTCCTTGTTTGACCCTGTTTAGCCCAGTACACAAGGCTGGGCACCCTTGTTTGATCCTGTTTGGCTCGGTACACTAGGACATGGTTGTGGTTGCCTTCTCCATCTCCATGCCACGCCTGGGGCCAGGAGCCCAGCACACAGATGCTAGGCAGCTCCTGGTACTCTGCCTGCTAAGACCCAGGTGGTCTTCTCTGAGGGACCTCCTGGGCATACCCACATGTGGGCATCTGCCCCAATGGCACAGACACACTTGGACTCCCACCAGAAGCTTCAGGCACATGGACAGAAAAGCTGTTCACAGAAACTTCACTAAGCAAATTAGTGTCGACCTGGGAGACTCCAGTCTCCTGACAGCTCTGGTTCTGAAGGCTTGCCTTAGCCAATGAAGTGCCTGTGACCTTGACCCTCATGTGGATGATGTGGGGTCTGGAACAGGGGCCCTCCTGGTTCCTCCAGATGTGATGCAGAATGACAGGGAGACCAGGGACTCCAGCGACTGGCCTCTTCTCTCACTCTGCGTTCTCGCTCTCCTTGCAGCCACGTACAAGCCGGAATTCCCAGGCAAGCAATCGTTTCTCTACAATGAGGACAACAAATGGATCCCAGTACTGTAGTGCCCTCATACAAGCTCAGTGAGAACCCTGGCCTCCAGCCCGCCCTACTCAGCTTCCCCATGATGTTCATAAAGAGAATGCATGTGTCCTATCTAACTCCCGCCCGTCCATCCCAGCGTGGTGTTATAGCTGGGCTGCTGAGTCTGTCCTGCTCTCCAGTTGTCTCCTAGAGACTGGAGCCCACCCCCGCTGACTGTGGGACCTGCTGCGTGGGAGTGAGGACTGGGCAGAGCTTCCCTTGGCTAATTCTCTGGTGCATAGACTCCACGGAGCGGGACCAATCCACCACCAAGCCAGCCATGGCAGATTTCCAACCTGAAAGACTAGAGGCTAAGCCAGGGCTCTGAGACCTACAGTGTACCCACAAAGTAGACAGCAGAGGGCTGGGGCCAGGCATTAGCCTACTCTTTTGGCCTTGGCTTCCAGACTCTTCTTTGAGTAGAGAAGTTCCGGAAGCAACTGTGACAGAGATGCAAAGGTTGTCAGGGCATCTTTCCCCAGCTAAGCCTTCATAGCTCACCTTCAGAAAAATATGGATGCTTTCAGAAGCTAGTCACCATGGTCAGCAGCACTCAGTACCCACCTCCTGGAGAGGCTGTTCCATCAGCGATATGCTCTGCATTTGACAGCAGACATGGTAGCGTCCTGTTGGAGCCAGAGCCCTGGAAACAGTGGATCTGAGGCCCAGGGAGGCCGTGTTTCACCTGAACCTGCAAGTTCTTCCTTACCCCTGACCTTTTCTCTTCCCTGGCCTGGGGCTCTGTCCCCTGCCTGACTGCCTGCTCCAACGTCACATCAGGGAAAGTCTTGTTGACCAAGTTTGACTCAATTTGAAGGTTCTTTTCTGGCCTAATCATTTCACCTCAGCAAGAGGAGGAGATTCCCAAAGAACCAAGAGGAACTAGAATTAACCACACACCCCTCTTCCCTGAATACTGCTATTAGGGTTCATTCTTGGAAGTGGAAGTCTCTTGTGCAGTCTCTCCCCACCTACTACCCAGCCTGTCCCCCAATTTGATACCCCTACACACATGCACGCATACCACGTACACAGAAGGCCTCTCACTCCCCCTGGATTGTTCCCTCCTGGGCCTGTATGTCAGAACTGGCCCCGACTGGCTCTCCCCTGGGGAGGAGTCACTGAAGAAGAGGGAGGGGAAAGCATGGAATAACATAATCCATTAAACTGAATTCTTGCTTCTCACAAGAGCTGACTTTGTTGTCACTTCAACTTCCCAAAAGGGTCCTGTTGATCTGGGATGAATTGAGAGGCAGCCTGGAGCATTGTACAAGGAACAACGCGCGTTGGTCAGATGCCAGGCCTGGAGAAGCCATTGTACCCTTTCAGTAAGCCCTAAGTTTAAAGCAGGGGTGTGTGTGTGTGTGTGTGTGTGTGCGTGTGTGTGTGTATATGTTTCTAATCTCATGGGATTTTAGTTTCTCTGTGAAGTGAAGACTTGGATTTGAATCCAAGGGCTCCAAGGTCAAATAGTTCCAGGGACTGGGTGGGCTGGTCAGGTGGGGAAGGTGCTCTGGAGAGCAGGGGCTGTTGTGATGTTCCAGCATCACTCCAAGCTAAAGGTTGGAAGATCTGCAGGTTTTATAACAGAATCTGGAAATGTTTTAAAAATGTGAAATCTCTTGATTTGAAAATATATTTCAATTAAGATTTTTTGTTGTTGTTCAGGCCAAAGGCGGCTCTCCCATGCGACATCAGTTGGTCAACTCGGTGCTGGAAGTTTTGGAGACCCTTGAAAAGTTGACAGTTGAAGCTGCCCTATTATTTGACCCCAGATTCTTGCCAATGGGATCAGATCCCAAGACCTGGACTTGTAGATTCTTCTGACCCTGGGGGACTTTAGCAGACCACTGGACTGGAAGCAGCCAGGCCTGCAGGCAGAGTTTGGTGGTGATCTGTCTGGAGACAGAGATAGGTCTCTTCTCAGCCCCGAACAGTCATCCAAGTACAACCAGGTAGGGTGCTCTTGGCCATGCAGGTCTGTAGAAGATATGGTAGGAGCCAAAACCCAAGTTAAGACAGTCTGTCTTGATTGTTTCCAGCCTAACTTAAGATATCTGTTGTAGGCTGCTCACAACTTCATTCAGATCCTTATTCATTTTCACTGTTTCCAGCCCAGTGACCCTCAACCCTGGATGAACAATTGGTCATCTCAGGAGCTGTGACCGAGACAATCTGCCCAGATCCCAGCCCTTAGGAGTTCTGTTTAATGGCTCTGAAGAACACTTTGGACATTGGTATCTTGCTTAACGTTTTTAGTGTGATGGTAGTATGTCTCTAGCTAGGCTTAGAATGGCTTGCATCAGGCAAACCTTAGTCCTCAAATGGATATTCTTGCTTTTGAACACTTAGGCTCAAACATAGCAATGATTATGAGGTTGGTGCAGGACTAAGCACTGTTTTGTTCTGTTATGGGTCAGTACCAACTCGACGGCACCTAACAACAACAAGGCATGGAATACGCAGATAGTTTAATATGTCATCCCCTCATTTAATGTGCTCACCACGCGTCTGTCACTTTGTTGTACTCTGATGGCTTCTGATTTGCTGTGATTCTGAAAGCTATGTCATAGGTATTTTAAATACCAGCAGGGTCACTCATGGTGGACAGGTTTCAGATGAGCTTCCAGATGAAGACAGACTAGGAAGAAGGAAAGGCGAACTACTTCCAAGTATTTAGTCACTGAAAACCTTATGAATAGCAGAGAAACACTGTCAGATATAGTACCAGAAAATGAACCCCTAACGTTGGAAGGCACTCAAAATGCAACTCAGGAAGAGCTGCTTCCTCAAAGTAGAGCTGATCATGATGAAGCAAATGGAGTAAAGCCCATCAGAGTAAAACCCTAGGGCCCTTCATTTGCTGATGGGGCACAACTCAAAAAGAAGAGAAACAGCTGTAAACATACATTAATAATCGGAATATGGAATGTACGAAGTATGAATCTAGAAAAATTGGAAATTGTCAAAAATGAAATGGAACACATAAACATCGATATCTTAGGCATTATTAGTGAGTTGAAATGGACTGGTATTGGCCACTTTGAATCTGACAATCACATGGTTACTATGCCAGGAATGACAAATTGAAGAGGAATGGTGTTGCATTCATCATCAAAAAGAATATATCCAGATCAGTCATGAGGTACAATGCTGTCTGTGATAGGATAATATCCATGCATCTACATGGAAGCCCAGTTAATATCACTATTATTCAAATTTACACACTAACCAATAAAGCAAGCGAGGATGAAATAGAAGAATTCTGCCAACTTCTTCAATCTGAAATTAATCAAACATTCAATCAAGATGTATTGATCATTAGAGGTGATTGGAATGTAAAGGTTGGGAACAAAGAGGAAGGATCAGTAGTTGGAAAATATGGCTTTGGTGATAGAAATGATGCTGGAGATCGCATGACAGAATTCTGCAAAACCAATAATTTGTTCATTTCAAATACCTTCTTTAGAAAGAGTAAGAGATGATTGTACAAATGAACCTCACCAGATGGAATACACAGAAATCAAATCTGTGGAAAGAGACAATGGAAAACTCCATATCATCAGTGAAAACAAGGCCAGGGGTAGACTGTGGAACAGACCATCAATTGCTCATATGCAAATTCAAACTGAAGCTAAAGAAAATGAAAACAAGTCCACGAGAGCCAAAATATGACCTTGAATACATCCCATCTGAATTTAGAGATCATATGAAGAAATAGATTTGATACATTAAACACTAAAGACCAAAGACCAGAAGAGTTGTGGGATGACATCAAGAACATCATACATGAAGAAAGCAAAAAGTCATGAAGAAGACAAAGAAGGAAAAGATCAAAATGGATTTCAGAACACTCTGAAACTTACTCACCAGCTTAGAGGTGCTAAAGCAAATAGAAGAAATGAGGAGGTACAAGAACTGAACAGAAAATTTCAAAGGTCAGCTCAAGAAGACAAAGGCAGATATTACAATGAAATATGCAAAGATCTGGAATCAGAAAACCAAAAGGGAAGAGCATGCATTTCTCAAACTGGGGGAACTGAAGAAAAAATCCAGCCTCAACCTTTGTTATTGAAGGATTCTCTGGGAAAATTATTGAATGATGCAGAAAGCATCTAAAGAAGATGGAAGGAATACACAGAGTCACTGTATCAAGGAAATGGTTAATGTTCAACCATTTCAAGAGGTAGCATATGATCAAGAGCCAATGATACTGAAGGAAGAAGTCCAAGGTTCACTGAAGGAATTGGCAAAGAACAAGGCACCAGGAATTGATAGAATAAAAATGGAAATCTTTCAAGAAAGTGAGGTGGCACAGGAGGCACTCACTCATCTCTGCCAAGAAATTTGGAAGACAACTATCTGGCCAACTGATTGGAAGA